AACATGAAAAATACTTTGAGTACACCATTGATTTATGCCCTTTTGTGGATTCATGATCCCTTTAAGAATCTGCTGAATGCTCTGGATCCTAAGAATAATGATCATTTGCATATATTTTGTATATTCTTTTTTAAAACACACACACATATCTTTATTGATTCCAGAGAGAGGAAGGGAGAGGGAGAGAGAGAGAGAGAAACATCAATGATGAGAGTCATCGATCGGCTGCCTCCTGCAGGCCCCCTGCTGGGGATGGAGCCCACAACCCTGGGCGTGTGCCTTGACCAGGAATCGAACCCCGATTGCCTGGATCCTAGGTCGACGCTCAACCGCTGAGCCACACTTGGCCGGGCTGTATATTCTAAGATTCAGACAGGTATTAAAAAACGTGTAGTAGTAGACATATGCTATCTTTCTCTTCTGTCAGCTCTTTAAGACTAACTTCTTGTGCTGGGGAGCATGACAGGGCCTTTCCCATCCCTCTCCTTCCCCTCAAGCAGTTACCTTTGCCTTTCCCTCTTCTAAGCTTTAATGGTCCCTCTTTTGCTTCTGTAGCTTGTTTCCTGAGCCTACGTAGCCCAGCTGGCTCACTTCTACCACCTTTGTAACTTTCTAAATAAACTTCCTCTTATAATTTGGAAAAAAAAAAAAAAAAAAAGAACTTTTTTTTTAAAAATCCTCACCTGAGGATATTTTTTCCATTGCTTTTGAGAGAGTGGAAGGGAGAGAGAGAAACATCGATGTGAGGGAGACACATCGATTGGTTGCCTCCCACCCGGGGCCAGGGATTGAGCCTGCAACAGAGGCATGGGCCCTGGACCAGAATTGAACCCAAGACCCTTCAGTTCAAGGGCCGACGCTTTAAACACTGAGCCAAATCGGCTAGGGCAAGACTAACTTTTTTTTTTTTTTAACTTCTAAATGTAAAACTTTCTTACATTTCTAGTAATGTCCTTTTATGTGATATACTTAAGACCAAGGACTTAATAGAGAAGTCCTAATTATACCCTTGGGCAAGACTAACTTCTTGACATAAGCTTTTAATTCCATCCCTTCTCAGTTCTAGCTACCTCCTAGAATTTAGTCATCAGCAGCATTCTCTTCCTTTCATCTTGTTTTCTCCTGAACCCTTTCTCTCAGCTTATGTAACATATAACAATTCAATGTATATCTTTTAATTTTCCCCCCAGAAATATAACTTTACTATTTAAACATAGTGTAAACATCTAAAAAAAAAAATTCAAGCAAGACAGAAAAGTCCAAAGATTACAGTAACCAATTCCCTAGACTCAAAAATAATCAATGTTCCCATTAGATGACTATTACTTTAGATATTTTTCTATTCATTGTATATATATATATTTTTTTCCATAAAACTTTATTCTACTTTTGAATAACTTTTTTAGTATAAATTCTCAGGAATATTTTTTTTAATGAACCAGTTTGATGATTATTTTGTTACTCATTGCCATATTTCTTTCCATGATACTTTTTAAAAAATCGAACTTACTGGGGTGACATTGGTTAATAAAATTATATATAGGTTTTGGTATACAATTCTACAATACATCATCTGTATATTGTATTGTGTGTTTACCACCCAAGTCTCGTTCCATCACTATTTATCTCCCCTTTACGCTCTCCCACCTCCCCCACCTCTCCATACTTTTTAAGAACACTCTCTTCTTTTGCCTTCCATGGCAGTGTATGCTCCTGTTTCTCCATCTGCCTCTACAACATCTTTTTTCTGGTTTTCTGTTCGGCTCTCTCTGTCTCATCCCTTAAATGCTGTTTCCTATGTGATGCTTTCTTAAGCCCCTCTCCCAGTAGGCTTCTCAAGTGTTTCAGGTATCCCCACTGTACTTTATACATTGTGGTATAGAATGTTTCACTTTAATACACTGAGAAGAGTACAGCATCTCTCCTATGGTTTTCCTTCTAAAAATGAATAACCTGAATTTAATCATAAGGAAACATCACACAAACCAAAACTGGGAGGTAGCTACAAAATAACTGGCCAGTACTCTTCAGATGTGTCAAGGGCATGAATGACAGAGAAAGGCTAAGAGTTCTTCCAGAATAAGAGGGACTAAGGAGACATTACAACTAACTGCAATGTGTGATCCTGGATAGCAATGTGGTCCAGAAAGAGGACATTAGTAGACCAATTGATGAAATTTGAATAAGGTCTGTAAATTAGTTAATAGTATTGTACCAATGTGATTTTCCTAACAGAATGCAGTTATATGTGTAGAAGAGATCTGTTTACTCCAAATTTATAATTTCAATGCTATCCCAATCAAAATTCCAGCATGTTTTTGCAGTAGTTGACATGATGAATCTAAATTTTTATGGGATTGCAAGTAAACAAGAATAAACAAAAGTTTCACATTGTGAGTTTATGATTCTGAACTCCTCCAAAGCTGGGATTAGGTTTATCCTGAGATCAACCCAGTGGACTTTATTTTTTTCTTGTACTCATCACGCCTGTCATTGTTTGATGTCTAGTTCCATGAGTACAGGGGCTGTGTCCATTGTTTGCTAATATCCCTTATGCCAAGCACAGTGCCTGACACAGAATAGCTGCTCAAAGAGTATCTTTAAATGGATTCATCATGTGAATTTAAAAAAACAAACCTAACCCACATTTCTTTCCTGGCATCAGTCCAAATTCTAGCCAGATCAATAAAAATTTACTAATCATTTGGCCTAACTGGCCTCCTTATCTCTTGTCATCCATCTCCCTGCAATCTGATAGCCTGCAACCACAAAATTTTTAAAAAGTCTGATTGTGTTCCCTTCCCCAAAACTCTGCTATCTCCCCATTACCTACAGAATATAGTCAAACTTCTTGACTTGGACTCAAGGCTTTGGCCCCAATCCCCCTTTTGAAACCTCTCTGGCTTTATTAAGGGCGTCAAGCACTGGGCTAGTCACAGTTGACAAATTGGTTAGGAAGACCGGTACCTAGATTAACTTTAATAGGGCATGATCAGCTATGTTACAGGGTCTGTCAGGACACACTTTCAGACAGTGCATTATAAAATATTAGGTTTTTGCCCTCTGCAGGTTCCCAAGTTCAGTCGAGGACTGCAATGTCTAATATAGTGGCCACCAGCCACATTTCAAGTGTTCAACAGCCACACGAAGCCAGCAGCTATCATATTGGACCGCATAGCATAGATTATTTCAATCATCCATGGAAGGAGGGTTAGTGTAGGTGCTTCAAAGACAGCAAGGACCATTTCCCATACATGCATTCTGTGGTGCTAGCCACCAGTCCCCAACCCACTTCTCCCACTCACCTGTTTCCCCCCACACACACCTTGGCTAGGGTGTATTATGAAGTAGCACAGGCTCCCAATAGAGATAATGCATGGAAGTACTTCTGTAAACCATTAAGTGATACAGAAATGTGATATAATAAATAGGTTCGGTTCTTCCTTTCATCACAGCTTTGGTTTTTTCAAGCAAATTCTAGCTCTTTTCCAAACTTCTCCCATCCTTGTAATTTATGCCAAAGAGTTCTGAAAAGTTGCACACAGGCAGCATTTTATACCAGGTAAAAATACAGATTATACCTACCTTGCTGCTTTCACAAGCCATCTATCCAGGAACCTACTTCACCACCTGCCTTTTCCTCTGTCACTTTCCCTAGAAAGGAAGGACACAAATTAAGATTTCCAAAATATTTATTTTGAAATTGGAATATAATGGGAAAACTAAGTAATGAGACTTGGACCCTCATCAGGGTTTTCCGGAAAATCATAAGTACCATCCTCTTCTGCAGCCTGATGCTTATCCAGTTTAGCAATCAATTCCTTCGCTGGATTGAAGACGCCATTGGTCTGCTGGTCACACACATAGCAGCGCGGGGTGGTGCGGAAATGCTGCAGTGCACAGCTCTCGCAGAAATAATGCCTGCACTTGGTGACAACTGGGTTTTGGAAGGACTGGCGACAGATGAAACACTTGAATGGTATTTCCTCACTATCACTTCCCACTTCATAGTTTTCATCTTCATAGACACCATAGCGACCCTCATCAAGCTCACGTTCGATCTGCCACCCATGCTTGTAATCTGATCGGTCATGGAGGAATTTGCAGCTGTCTCCGAAGCCGCAAAAGCCAGTCTCCTTGTAGTCCTTACAAATGTCCGGCTGGTAATCCCAGCGCACGGTGGCACGCAGATGCTCGGGAGCTCGGATGGGGCCTTTCCGCACCATTCCGGAGGAAGCATTGCCCATAGATGTATCCTTGGGCTTCATGTACTTCTGATAGTTATTGATTCCCCGATAGATCTTGTCATCTTCCTTGCCTCTCAGCTCCTCCTGAATCTTCTGGCTGCGCTCAAAGATGGCTTGTGCGTCACGCTCCTTTTCTGTGTCTAGCTCATAGACAGCAGTCGCCCCCATATCCTCTGGCCCCACGGGTTTCGCCGAGCGGGTGGACTTGTAGACCACACGGAGAGTCTCGGGCTCATTCCCGTTCACGTTCCCCTCCTCCTCCTCCTCCTCGCTACTCAAGTCGCAGTAAACCACCTTCTGTTTACCACTGCCACGGGTCTTCTGGATCATCGGATTGTGGGTCGCCCGCTTCTTTTCGCGGCGAACCACAGTGCTGCCTTCGTCGCTGCTGCTGCAGCTGCTGTCTCCGTGCTCTTGCTCGCAGACCGGACGCTTCCTGCGGCCTACAGCCCCCTTTCGCCCAGGCTTTTTGAACAGGAAGGTGCACACCTGGTCTGTCGCCTTTCCTGGAGAAAGTTGCTCTGCCATTTTCCAGTCCCGAGCTCCAAAACGGCTGCGGCGTTCGGGATCTCGTGGGGCAGCTTCACCTTACTGCGCGCCGCGGGCTCCACGGAGCACCCGGAGCAAAGCGCGCTGCGGAAGCTGGAGCACCCGGGCGCGAAGGCACCACCCTAGAGCC